ACATATCCTGTCCAACCTGTTTCTGTCCCTCGAGCACATCATAGAGTGCGTAGATTTGGCCGTTCTTGACCTCCTGCGCGTTCATATTGGCGTCAATGTTTGTCTTGAGCTGCTTGCGCTTCGTCTCCGCAAGAGCAGGGTTGTGGTTATCGTATCGAGCCTGCATCTTGGCGTGTTCCATCTTCATGTGCTCCAGCTCATCCTCGAGACCCTTGATGACCTTCGCCAAAGCATGTCCAGGAGGCTGAGAAGGACGCATTGTGAGATCGTCCGCGGCAGTGCCCAGCGTCTTATACTGATCCGAGGGAGCAACGGGCCTAGAGATCTTCACTCGCTTCTTTCCCTCAGCAATGTCGGCAGAAGTGATCGTTCCCCGATGAGCCTTGATCCGAGTGCACACAATGCAGTTCTTACAGCTGTGTCCGGCCAAGCTATCCAGGACACGTCGAGCGTCGGAGGTCAAAGCAGGACAGTTACCCTTGACATCAGTAGTCGAGGTGTGGTCTAGCCCGCCCTGCGTAATCAGATCGACGGTAATGGACTTGTCCTTGGAAGGCTTTGTCGTGGACTTTGATGACTTCTGGCTCTGGCTAGTCAAGTTTCGGGTGGTGTTCGTTGTTTCTTGGTGGACAGTACGAGACTCCTTTTGGCTCTTCGTCTTCATGTCGATCACCATGGAGTGAGTCTGCGTCTGGGTGTGCTCGGGCGATTGCATGTTGCCCTCGTCATCGGCTTGGAACGGGTCGAGATCGGGGAGAGAAGCCCCCTTGAAAGAGCTCTTGGGAGTGGATTGGGCAGAGATGCTCCTCTTGCTACCCTTGTTGGCAGTGTTGGAGGCCTTACTGCTCTTTTCCCTCGCGCTCTTGGATTTGGAACTCGCTGCCAACCGTTCGGGGAGAGAGAAGGACACCTTCTGCTGACTGGTCGAGTCCTGCGCACGGTGGGTGGAGTCTCGTCTCTTAGAACGACCCTCGGCTGCGACGGAGCTCTGTTGACTCTGAACAGTGTGGTCGAGCTCATTAACACTGCGATCTGTCTGCTCAGTGGTGTCCTGAATCTCGGCAGCCTTCCTGCCTGGCGTCGCTTGCCTCTGGATCTTCTTCGGCTCAGGAGTGAAATCGAGAACCCTCGAGTTTTGTGTGCTGTCAATCGTAATGTCCGGCATGAAGAACGCCGAAGTCATGTTCTCCTCCGTTTCCTCGTCGTCAACTCCCTTATCCAGACGCACGGAAAAGTCATCCGTCTTTCCGAGAGGACGGCAGTGGTCGAGCTGCTGCTTGAGGAACTCAATCTCCTCCTTCAATTGCATATTTTCGTCGTGAAGGTCGTGAATGCTGCGCTCGAAACCCGAGTTTTCGCGGCGAAGGATCTTGTTCTCGTTGAAGTATTTCTCGTTGTGGCGAACGAGGCTATCGTTGTCCTCCTTGAGAGTGGATTTCTCTTGCTCCATGGTGTGAAGCTCAACCTGCAAGGCTTCGACTTCATCGCGGGCTGCCTCGAGATCCTCCTTGGCATTGGTCGTGGTCTGGCGAAGCTCCTCGTTCTCGGACATAAGCGATCGCGCATTAGCCCTCAAAGACCTGTTCTCGTTGATGAGAGATTCTTGTTCGCGCCTCAGAGAGTTGTTGTCTGTCCGCAGAGACTCCATTTCCTGTTGCAGAGTTTCCTGTTCCTTGCGAATGGTCTGGTTCTCTTCCTGAAGAGCTTTGTTATCGGCGGACTGGACCTCGTGGCTTTGCTTCTCTTGACGGAACACCTCTTGCTGGTTGGTAAACTCCAGAGTGGCATTGAGCTTATCTTGGGTCTCATGGAGTTCTCTTCCCTTGATTTCGAGTTGATCCATGAGATCGCCGATTTGCATACAGGCGTCTGAAAGCTTCTTTAAAGCCCGGTCTCGCTCCAAAGACAAGGTGTTATTTTCGACCTCGTTAATGCCGAGCCGGGTGCTTGCCTGGTCCAAGCGTGCTTGCAAAGATGTTACCTGCGATTCCAACTCTGTCACTGGTTAGATGGAATTTCAACGAGCAGTCTCATGATACTCACTCAGCTTCTGTGTCTGATAGCGCTCCTCGCCAGCCGTTTCCGGCTCTGAGCCTGTCCGGGATCCGAGGGCACTATCGATAGACTTGCGGCCCTTGATGCGCTTCAATTCGGTCTGAAGATGATCCACCTGATTCTCGAGCTCTACTGCATGCTGCTGAACCAAATCATCGTGCTCCTGAAGATTGCAAATCTCGTTCCGGATCATATCCATAGACACGAATATCTTCTCTTCATCCTCGGGAATCGCAAGGCCGTCCACCTCGGCATGGTCATTGGGCGGCAAGGTATCAATGCGGTCCCGCACTTGTCCGTTCTTCACGAAGACTGGGACGCCATTCTTCACTGCGCCATTGAAGCGCAAATTGCCGGAGATGAAGTCATTGAGGTGAGAGATATCGGGCATGAAGAAAGAGCGTGACGTGGCGCCATTTTGTGCCGGGCTATCGGTAGTGGCCGGCGAAGGGAACGTCCTTCGGATCGTGTTGAATGTGACAGGCGTAGACTTATTTGTATGGACGTTGTCGGCTGTGGTCTGCTTCGGGGTGGCTTGTGTTGGGGGAGCCAGGAAGTCTGACTTCCGTCGGTCCGTGTTGGCGGCGTAGGAAGATCGCCGTGCTGACTTGTGAGTGCCAGATGCTGATCGAGCGTGTCCTCTTGACAAGGGACTACGGTTCATCTGCTGTTGAGGGTTGAACTTGAAGCTGTCGGCATTGATATCGAATCGGAAAGGTGACTTGGACATGTTCGCTGACATATCGGACTCGTTGTCTTCGACGCGGGGCTGCATTTCAGCACGCGTCCGCTTAGAACCCTGCCAAGTCATATCCGTGGAGTCGTCATCCATGTTGGAGAGATATTTCTGGACAATAGCCTTATGGGAGACGTTGTCCTTGTGACGCAATGAGCCTGTGGACTTGGGAGCGGGGTGGTTGTGTCTTGCTTCGACATTGGCCTTCGGCTTGCCGTAGAATTCGGGCCACTTGCGGTGGGCAGCGTCCAAGTCTACTTGTATCTTGCCACCAGTAGGACCAATAATCCGAGCAATATCTTCGTTGAGTCTGCGGGTGGATTCTCCGTCGGGTTCTGAGAAAACAGAGGACATGGTCGGGCTGACGGTGCCGTGGGAGCCTGTCGAAGAAGGCGGGGAGTTGAAGGGGTTGTCGCGATTTGCGTTCATTTCCCGCAGAATGCGAGAACGGTAGCGGTTGTGTGCTGAGTCGGCCTCCATGACTGCCCCGGGACGCGTCGGGCGCGGTTTCCGGGATGGGAGTCGAGAAGAAAAAGTAGATTCACGATGGCGCCGCAATGGGTAGAAGCGACGCGTCGAATAGCTGATATCGCGCAGACAATTAGATGGTAAGACTGAATCGAAGCAATACCGAGCAAGAGAAAGGTGCTCAAGGCATAGAAGCGCGCACAATGGCTAGACGAAAGACAGAAGAAGCTGTGGTGTATGATGAAGTTCACAACCCAAGCAAATGTTGGAGAAGGAAGAAGCGTCCTAGTGCGGAAGGGCAGGGGTTGGTTTGTTTACTTTCGGAGCCGCAGGCGTAAACAATTGGCGATTGGCCGTGGGCGTCAGTGCATGTTAGTGGGGCAGCCCTGCCTCCCCCAGCCCAGCTCAGTGCCCTTGCTGGACGAATCATCACTAATAAGTCGCCAGCCTCCAGCCCTCTGCAGCTGGAAACGCGTGCTGGTTGGTCTGCACTGGGCAAAGAAACGCGCTCTTTTGTTCGCACAAGACAGGGCCGGGAAACCGTCAAGTCAAACTAAAAGGCTTCTCGTTTTGATCTAATGTCTGTATGTGTTTAGATATACGATTACTATAGTTGGCATACAAATACAGGTCCCTTAAAAGTTGTGTTAAACATGACCGGGACTTTAAGTAAGGCGGGCAAGGTCAATTAACTTAATAAAGCAGGGCACTCGGTTATTTCATCCGTCATTACGTCAGCCATCCATTCTCTTCGCCGAGGTGAAGAGACACTTCCGCCTTCCTCACCGAGCCAGTCGTCGCTGTCTTCACTTGAGACCTATAGTAGACCCGGTGAGGCAAGACACGTGGTAAGCACTTAGAGTTTCCGCTAGTCGTGCAGATGAATAAGACACCAACATCAGGAACGGGAAGAACCTTCCTCAACTTTTACCGCTCACACCAAAAGTCATCTAGCAGGTAGGCGCAAGGTGGTTGAGACAGATTCTAGCACGGTCGAGCACATCTCAACGCATCTCTAACAGACCGACTCGGTCCGTTTCACCCTAGTGATGCATTCCCCGACTCGCTCAAGCACTCACGGCACTTTTCAACGGCCGTCGACTTCCATTCCTACTTCAAGGTCAAGTCCCATGACCCGAGACATCTCATCCGTATCTTACCTAGATAATTCTTTTAGTCAGGGAGACGTTGCTTCGAGGTTAGAGAGCCTCCACAACTGTCTATACTTGCTTGAGATATGACTGCTCTTGGTTCCGTCCGTGGGCACATGGCGCGGGTCACCAGGTCCACCAACTTGGTCGCCAGATATCAGCAGGTGATCACGCCGACTGCGAGCGGTGCCATGCCATCGTGGGCGTTGGTTTTCCTTACACCGCCGAAGAGGCTGGAAAGCGTGGAACCGTTCATGCACAACGTAAGGTACTTGGTTAAGGTAGTCTCGTGCAAGGTACGTATTGCCTTGCCGTTGGTAGTAGAGAGATCCAAACCAAGCATCCTTCCGATCACCTCGTGCGCAGAACACATGGCGATGATAGTGGCAGAGGCAGGATCCATTAACATGTTTACTGCGATCTAATGTGTACAATCTTCTTCAACGGGTAGCCGAACCTCGTACTCGATCGGCAAAGGAAATGAACCGATTCTCTCTTGCCCAGGGCCCAGGGCAGCGAGGGCAGTGACAGACTGACAGGACAAAGCGCAGGGTCTTGGCGCCGCCAGAAATGCCCCGCATGAACTTGCTCTAGTGGCCGACGCCGCCACCTTTCCCGAGGGATGGTGGATAGTGGGTGGACGTGGTGGGAGGTGACCACCACGCAACGCTTGCACCATCCACTTCTGTCAGTTCTGTGACCTCTCGGTGCGCCATTCTGTGACCACTAGAACCTTGAGGGGACTTTGAGGGGTCCATCTGCCTCGTGCAGGTGGATCTTTTTTTCCAAGGTTCTCCTGCGAAAACGGGCTTGGCCTGGTCTTCGACTCTGGGCAGTCCATCGCCAAAGAGCCCTGCGCCATCACTCGCTTCCTTCCCGCATTTCGCCCGGCCGCCGTTTATCTTGCTCTTCCCCAGCTTTTCCACTGGCTTCCCGTATTGCTGCTTGCATCGCATAGTTCCTCCGCATCTTCCCTCGTCGCGTGCCCTCTTTCTTCAACTTTGCCAATTCCTCGTGCATATTATCATTGTTCAATTCCCGCTTCGGCGACTGCGAAGTCCTTCTGAACATGGCAGAGCGCTTCCATACATGAGCGGCCTTTTCTGGAGCTGATTGCTCGCCATCATTAACTGAGTTGTCTTATCTTTTGAACTCGATACCGATTCTTCCATCATGCGTCGATCAAACCCCCGATTGCCCGAGGCTTGCCTCTCGTTGCTTGCGCTTTCTTCGTGCGCAACAGCCCTTGTTGCGACTCCTCCGAATGCGCTCGAGACGTATTGCCCCATTTTCTATGCCGAAAACCAGCCTCCGACCGACTGCGAACCGAGACAGCCCACGTCCTTTCTAGAAACCCCCCAGGTTGAAAGAGATGCCACTGCTTATACGGCCAAGGCCAAAGACGAGCCACTCGAGGCCACCTTTGAAGCTCTTACCGTCATGCAACATGACTTCTTCGTATCGGATCAGGGAACATGGCCCGAAGCCATCGACTGGACTGCGGCCGTCATGGAAACGATGCTGTCAGGCTCATTGACTTCGCTCTCGCAAGCATTGGCTGTTCTCGATATTGGAGGAAGCGGTGATAAGGGGGCCAAAAGAAACCTCATTGATACTTTCTTTACTCAATTAGTGGCCTCATACTTCGGCCAGGACGACGTTGCGATCCGCCACCAGGTGCGTCTCTTACCCCCCATAAACATCACTTCCAAGCAGCGCATGCTGACCAGTACATAGGCTTTCGACGACATTCTTTGGGTTGTTCTTGGTTGGATCGACGCCATCAAGTTTATTGACATACACTCAAAGCTCTTCTATCCCCGGGAAGGCCTCAACGAAAGCGCAACGCCAGGTCTGGGAGATGCCTTGGCGAACGGGCCCTGGCATGGGCAATACTGGATACCCTCCTTTGCTCACCGGGCCAGAATCTTCTGGGACCTTGGGTCCAAGGGTTGGGACACACTACTCTGCGACGGCGGTATGAACTGGAACCCGAGATTGGAGCCCTACAAGAACGCCATCACGAACGAACTCTGGATTGCGGCTTCAATCTCAATGTACTTCTGGTTTCCCGGTGATAACAACACCACGCCGTGGATCAACCGTGCCAGTGGTGTGGAGGCCACACGAGAGCCCAAGTACCTCGCCGCTGCCATTGAAGGCTACAGATGGCTCACTGGCGTCAACATGACCAATCATGCCGGTCTCTATGTTGACGGCTATCACGTTGATAGGTCCAAACCGGGCAACACCAAATGTGATCAGCGTAGTGAAGCTGTCTTCACCTATAACCAGGGAGTGCTCTTGACTGGCCAAAGAGGCCTGTTTGCCGCCACAGGCAGTGCTTCTTACCTGGAAGATGGGCACAGGCTGATCCAAAACGTTATCAAAGCCTCGGGCTGGGATTTGACGCTCAACAAGCCAGTTGATGACTTGTCAAAGCTCCCTCCAGGTTACTTGCCCCCCTGGCGAGGCCTGGGCCGAGGAGGTGTCATGGAAGAAACCTGCGATGCTAGCGCGACTTGCTCCCAGGACGGGCAAACCTTCAAAGGCATTTTCTTCCATCACTTTGTAACCTTTTGCCAGCCACTGGACGCCGCCATCGTCGAGCGCGGCATGACTGTCAACGCAAATGCGTACAATCAAGTCAAGACGACCCACGCATCGGCCTGCCAGGCCTATCTGAAATGGGTTGAGCACAATGCTAAAGCGGCCTTATTGACTAAGGACAGGGAAGGCCGTTTCGGTACGTGGTGGGGAGCAGGCATTTTCTTGAAAAGTGCGCCGACAATGCAGACGGACGGTGTTCCTCACGACGCACCCAATGTGACTGATTACCGTAACTACGGGCTGCCGAACGACGGCGTTTGGGCCCACGGTAATCCTGACGAGGTATGGGCACCAAATGGAGAGGCGCGCAAGAATGAGAAGAAGGGCTACGTCCTGGTCGGTGATGATGAACACTCTGGACAGCAGGTTCTTGGTGGTTCTGATAGACAAGGATCTCATAAAGTGGACGAGGTCGGATCTGAACGGCACGTGAAGTCAACGGCAGCGACTGGTGATCCGAACGACCGCGGCCGGGGTAGGACCCCGGAGACGCAGAACGGCGGAATGGCTTTGATGCGGGCTTGGTGGGAGCTCGTAGCGGCGTCCAATGGTACGTACGAACCGTAGCGGCAGATGAGACGACGATGAAGATATGCATGATATGAAGTCATTTTGGCTATCTAGCTATTTGCCTTTTTGGGCCTACGAGTATAGACGAAGAAGTTCTTCCCCGTATATACGCACGCATGGCATAGCCGCCGGCCGGTTACGCCGGCCTTCGTTTTGGACATTCCTGCTTTTTTCTTTACCTCTCCCGCATTCGCACTTCAGTAATTATGGTGGTCGAGAATGCTTATTGACTGAACCGGAGACATCGTACTCAATGAGGCACCATTCACTCTGCCCCACTACCTTACTTTCAAGGGTGTCTTGCCCGCGGGACGCTATCAAGACTACGACCTGCTGCGCCGTACCTGACCACGCTAAAGTCGTACCAAATCAGCCATCATTGGTCACTTAGCCGAGTGCGAACGATGCTGACATGCTGACATCCTTCCCCATTCCCGCTGTAGCCTCCAATCTCCATTGCGTGGCTGCTCAGCCATCCATTTAGGGGGCCTGGAAGTCCAAGAACTTCGAAGGAGTGCAGGAGGCTAACGAACACCTCGCACCTTTGATCGAAAGAGGGGCACCCCCGGGGTTCGCGAGGGCCGCTTCGAGTGGTTAAACTTGGGTGGATCCGGCAGCACGGTGCCGGGCTGGACCCACTTGGGTGCCGTGGCTTGGCAGGAGATTCGCTGCTGGGTCGTTGTCCTGCCCGCTACGCCAGAACGCCGTGCGCCTCTAGGGCTCTGGGGAAACGCTTTCGAATCGACTTCCCAATGGGGGAAGAAAGCTTGGAGGGCGCCGATATGGGCTTGTGGGAATCGAGATGGGGATGCTGGGTGGTGGTCTTCCCCCCTCTTTGTTGATATTGTGCTTTGGAGGAAGCTCGATATAAAGGCTAGGAAGGTTCCTGGTGATTTGGAGTATTTGTATTTGAAAGTGCATCAGAAGCATCGAGCATCACCAAGCATCAAACATATCTGACAGCACGCTTTGAAGATCTTTCTCCCTACACACCAACACAGATCCATCATCTTAAGCATCTCAGCACATCTATCTCCAAGTCTTCGTCCATTCAACCAGCCACATCCACTATCAAGACTCGTCACCAAGCTTTCCAGCCTCCAACCTCAAACCTCAGAAGCAAAAACACCACACTAACTCACACAATGGGTCTCATCACCGGCCTCGTCTCAACCGTAGTCCACGCCGCCGCCGGCCGGAACCCCTACAGCCACAACCACAACAACCAGTCCCCCGTCACAACCCCCGGCAGTACTGGCCCCAGTACCGTCGCCGGCCCCCACGAAGGCCACAACCACACGGGACCCGACGGTCAGCCCTGCGGCATCTGCAAAGTCGCCCTCCCCTTTGGCAAAGGCCGCGAAGCCAAACGCGAGCGCAGAGCCGCGCGCGACGAGCGGAAAGCTGTGATTTATGCCATGAGGGCGCAGCAGCGCGGGGGCAGGAGGGGACGGTACGGGTATGATACTGCTGGGTTCATGGGCGTTGCTGGACCTTATCAGCAGCAGCAGGGATATTGCAACAACAACGGAAACAACATGTCACGTGCTGGTCCGTCGTCTGGGCAGGAGGAGGGCGTTGGGGAGAGGAGACGGGCTTCTACAGGTGACGATGTACCGCCGCCTGCGTATTCTGCTGCCGGACCTTCGTCTATGAACGTTGGCGTTGAGGCGAGTCGGAGCGTCGAGGTTTTGGGGAATGGTGATGAGAAGGAGCGTCCGGAGAAGGCCTGAACGTGGTCATTGGATGTTAGTGATGACTGCTTGCTGGTTTCTTTTGTGTATAAAATTAAGAGCGAGCGTGGCGTCAGGTTCTTTTAGGATAGATGGTCTGAATATTTAGGTTCACGGTTCGAAATCACACTTTTTATTTGACTCTTGGTCTTGTGTCTAATTCACAGATGCTCGGATGCTGTCGTGACGTATGCTGATGTACAATTGGGGCTTCACTTTCCTCCGCACCCCGTCTTAGACCCCTTAGCTTTTTGTGCCAAAACCTGAACCGCCCGTGGCATGGTCTGGTACGCAAACCTCGTAATTGTTTCCCCATTGCCGTGCCACCTTCGTCCACACTCCTGTGGAAGGTCATGCTTTTGTTGTCTGAGAAAGTGCAGTCCTCCTACGAGAACAGCATTTTACCGCTGACCGGAAAGACGACGGCTCTGGACCTCGCCGAGGGCCTTGGTGCCGCTCAGGAAGATGGAGGTCGCGACGATGGCGACGGCGGGCAGGGTCTGGAAGAGGGTCCAGGCGCTGTAGTACATGAAGAAGACGCCCTCCATGGCTACGATGGATCCAAAGAAAGCGACGTGGGAGAGAGGCGCGGCACCGAGGGCCTTTTGGATGTGGTTGACGTTGGCGCCGAGAGAGAGCCACTGCAGAATGGAAAGTCAGTCAATGTTACATTTTCATGCTACAGGACACATTGTTTCTCCCAATTGTAGGCGGAAACATGGAGGGATAAACACTTACGCCAATGAGGAGAACGGGAATCGTGGCCAGAACGGCAATGACAAAGGCCAGCGAGATAATCTTGGGAGGGCTGCGGGGGTCCTCGCGGAAGATGTGGCTGATCTCGGGCTGCTTGCCGTAGCGGAGGGGAGCGTCGTAGGTCGGGGCGGCGGCGCTGGCGTCGCGGCTCACGGAGACGTCGAAGAGGGTGGTTTCGAGGGCTTTGGCGGCACCGAAGGAGCCGATGACGATGCTGGCCTTGAGGGGTTCGTTGGCGAGGAGGAGCTGGACGGGGAGGTCCTTCTGGGCCTGTTGTAGTTCACGAGGATTAGTCTTCCTTACTTGCCATTGAGGGTTGGAGAAGGATGGAGAACGTACAATGTCGACAACGCCTCGGCCAGTGTCCTTAAGCTCAAGGGGGAAGGGGGCCTCGAGACCAGACTCGGTCTCCTTGAGGATCAAGAAGGCCTGATGCGGGCGCTTGGCCTTGTCGCCCTCCTTGGCCGTCAAGATGACCTTGAGAGTATCCTTGGCTCCCAGAGAAAGGGCAGTCTTGAGAGGAGATGTCGCGCTCAACCTTTTGGGCAGTCAATTCGTCAGCAATTGGAGGTTCTCGTACATCGCGGCTTCCTTCCTCCTTCCCACCCCAGAGCTTCCAGAAAGCGGAATTGGCAACAACTCACTTCTCTTTGGTGGCATCCTTGCCCTTGCCAGTAATCGAGACAGTGGCACTGTCGAATCCCCATGATGAGGCGGCCTGCGCGGCACCGGCCGCAAACAGCGCGAGGGCTGGCGTCAGGGAGTTGAGGAATCGCATTGTGCTGCTGAGGGTGCTTGTCTGTGGCAGCTTTAGCTTGTGCTTGGGAGCTTCACATCACAGGCCGTTCACTTATGGACAGCTTTCGTGTCCATTACGAACTACCGACCGTGCACGGTCCATGTATAGCGGGACCCTGCAACCAGTGCTTTTGTTGTTAACACCGTGTTTTGTACAGTACAGATAATGACATCTCACTCTTCAACACCTGGTCGCATTGCTCTGTGTCTGAATATGTAAAACAAGGCCAAAATGACATTATCCATGAACCAGGTTTGAGGTCTTTGAATTCGATTTCGGAATATATCTAAGATTCGCTTATGTTGAAGATTGTCAAGGCGATATCTGTAAAGCATTCTTCAATTTAGAGACACAATTGTACGGATAATGCCTTGAAGCCTGTTTTAGGACATGGATGAACTTGCTACTGTGAGATTGCGAAGCGGAGGGCTATCTATGTGGTCTAAACGCATCACTTCAAACAGCCTAAATCATAGCTCATCTTTGACGTCGCTCGAATCGCTAGCAGCCTCACCCTCTATCTGCTTGGGTAGGTGCTCATCCAACTCCATCCACTCTGCCGCGAAAACCGTGAGGATACGCGCCCAATCCCGTACTGTTGGTAGGTCCAGATGGGCACCGTCGTCTTCAATCTTATGCCATACGTCGGGGAACGGCGTCGGGATGATGTGCAGGATCTCGACACCTCGCTGCAAGAACGGTACATGATCATCTAGGACGTACCCACCACCGAAGCCGACCTTCTCTTTGTTCCTGTCCGTCAAAAAAGGATGTTTCGGTTTGGTTTCAAGGATATCCAGTTCACGCATACGATGTTCGATCTTTGCCATCTTCTTATACGCCCAGTGCGTGGAAGGGAAGTAAGATGGTATCCGGGGATTAGGGGCGCCCAGAAGATCGATAAGAAGGAAGAGGCTAATGGACGAAAGAGGTGTCTTGTATAGACCATCAGGGTGAACAGAGTCTTCCCAGCTCTTGGCGAGCGCCCTAGAAGACGTCAGACAGACAAACCAGTCACGCTGAAGTTCGCCAAACATACCTGGCTCCATAGAGCGAATCTGTGTCCGTCCACGACACCCATGCCTCCTCTCCATCAAGCAGAATGATCTGGACGCCCTTCTCCTCTTCGAGTCCGCTCCCAGCATCACCTGAGGCCTCCATTGCCTTCCACTTCTTCACCAGAGCTTCCTCAATGTTCCTTGCCGCGTGGAGCAGCATCGCGCAAGGCGCCGCACTGTCAATCGCCCCAATGAACCCTTCAGGGTGGTACAGACTATCATAGTGCGCGACGAGCGTCAGATACTCGACATCTCCGCCCTTGGCCCACGGCGGGTCGCGGCGGAAGATGAGGTTCGTGAAGGGTATCTCCTTATCTCCGGTCGCGGGCGTCTTAGATGTCGAGTTGTGCCACTCAATGATCCACTCGGGCAGATTGGCGCGGAAGAAGTCGACAAAGTGCTGTTGCACCTTGAGCGAGCCCGGGGTGCCGGGGACGCGGGGGATCAGGATGGGGGCCAGCAGCGAGCCGGTGTCAATGTTGAAACCATCGCCACCCGAGGGGATCGCGCGGAGGGCCTCGTCGCCGAGTTCGGTGTAGGCGGTCGTGGGGGTGAAGAGCGAGCAGAGGACTATGAGGATCGACCCGACGAGGGGCAGCTTCGGGAGGGAGCTTAGAAGACCCATTATGGTGACGGCGGCCAGGTCGGGCGCAGCAGGCTCATGCTGCTCTGGAACTGTGATCTAGGTTGTTCGATAGGTACGCGCCCGACGGCTTCTCTTTGCGCAATATGTTCAGGTTGCGACCGCCGTCATGTTGGGCGGGGAGAAATGTGTTTTGTCAAAGACCCTGAGATGCAATGCGACTCAGGTCCCACGAGGTCCCCGCCGAGTGGTCGGGGCATTTGGTGGTCGAGGTGGAAATATGCCGAGGGAGGCTCCACTCACGGAGCCAGATCCACCGCTCCGCACGCCGCCTGGGAAACGCTAGAGGAATTCTGGGGTTGGGATGTCAACATCGCGGTCGACAATTGGCACCGGCATGTACGGCCAAGCCGTCGTCGCAAAAATTCTGCTGAGGTATGTGATCAACGTCAGCTCGCAAAAGACTGGCTGGCGGCGAGGTCCAATCATCGAGGAACTTTACCTTAGTCCTACCTTAGTCCAAGTGCATGCACTCTAATCTCCAACGGATAGACCACATCGCCTATCCCCGATGGTCGGCATCTTCTCCATAAATCCTTCGGCGTTAACGCCACCTTCACTTACACTGGAGGCCGTCACGGAAACATCTCTTCATCACTGACCATAGTCCAACCCCTCAAGTTTGACGAACAAAAGACCTTGCGGCAAGGAACTTTTGACATCACTTGATATGGAACTATTGTTTCTAATCTCCGTGTAGTACAAGCCATTGATAGGCCACTACCAGACATCTATCGCCGAGTGGCTTGAATGACGGACGAATTCTATGGATCTGACATGCAGGAGGATTCTTGCTCTCTCCTATTGTAAAGCAGTTAAGATAGACTTGAAGCCTACAGATAACCGGACTATAAGAGACAGGATGGTTCCGCTTCTGTTGAGCTAAGGTGCTTCATTATCATTAACACATTCGAACCATATCTTCACATTATCTGGACTGCAAGATAAATCTGCACGACTTTTGATACTTAATCAATCTTCCGCCTTACTACTTGAATCGGAATACTTCACCTTCACGATGGATTCCCCGGTCTGGTTCATCACTGGCGCCTCCTCAGGGTTCGGCCTCGCTATTGCCAAAGAAGCTCTCTCACGTGGCCACCGCGTCATCGCAACCGCCCGCAACCCAGCTAAGATCTCTGATCTGGCCTCTGCGGGCGCCGATACACTCCCCTTGGACGTCACCGTCGATGAGGCTACCATCACAGAGACCGTCAACAAGGCCTTTGCCATCTACGGCAAAGTGACCCATGTCATCAACTCAGCCGGCTACATCCTCGAAGGCACCATCGAGGAGGCCAGCGCCAAGGAAGTCTTTGACCAATACAACACCAACGTCCTCGGCACTCTCAAGGTCTCCCGCGCAGTGGCCCCCCACCTCCGCGCCCAGGGCTTCGGTGCCGTCGTCAACATTGGAAGTCTCGGTAGCTGGAAGAGCGGTCCGGCCTTTGCCATGTACTGTTCCACCAAAGCTGCCGTCAGCCTGCTCACCGAAGGCTTCCACGACGAGCTGAAGCCGTTCGGTATTGATGTCTGCATCCTTGAGCCGGGTTACTTTCGTACCGGTTTCCTGAACCCAGGTGCACGCATCAAGGTTGAGCAGTCTGTTGAAGCGTATACCGATAGCGCAGCGGGCCAAGTCAGAAAGGTGCTGGAAACCGTCGATAACAACCAGCCTGGTGACCCGATCAAGGGAGCGCGTGTGGTCGTGGATGTTCTAACCAAGTCTGGGGTTGCTGAGGGTCGTGAAATCCCTCAGAGGCTGGCCTTGGGCACTGACTGCCTTGCGGTTGTTCGAGAGAAGTGTCAGAGCACCATGGCTCTTCTCGATGAGTGGGAGTCGATCTCCGCTTCGACCGACTTTTAGCGGCTAGGTCACTCGGCGGACTCTTTCAAGGCTCGTGAGTTGATTTTGATATTTTGATGGCCACAATGAGGGAAACAAAGAGATGTCACCGTAGCATACGAATTTGATAAAACTATGCTTGTTTTGTAACTACCCTAATTGGATGAATTCAGTGCGCCTTACGACACCTCGGCCAGACAATCTCATGATAATTGCTAATGTTGATATCTTTGCATCGAAAGTCGTAAAGCTGACACCTTCATCCCCTTCGTATGTGAAACGTGTGATTTTTTGCGAAGAAGTCATTGGAAGCCTTAAGAGAATTGGATTACCATTTCTACCTGATCTGAAAGTATGTTGGAAGGCTGGCGGGTGACATTAAAGGAGTTGCTTGGCAAATGCTTGAATCAAAGCTTATTCGCGTTTAAATCATCAACATCATGCATCTCATGACTCACGTAAAGCTATAAAGGGTCCTATTTCGCCTGAAGGGACTGATTAGACCACTTGAGATCTACGATCGGTCGCCAACGAACACTCAAAGTATGAAGTCATTATGCAAAGTGCCTCACGATTTCTACACAGCCTGGAAAGGAAAGTGAGGCCAACATCGTATTCGGGCCATATCTGCCAATCTAGCTAGCTATCTCTCCACCACAGAGTGAACCTCATTTTCGGAACATCATAGTTGCTCATGTCTGTCTAGCCCCAGATCTCGCACTTGGCGTGGCACGCGGTAGAAACGCGACCGACGCTGTAGCTGAACATTCCGCCCATGGCACGAACCGGGCCGGGCTCGCAGTAGACGCCCTCAATCGCGGCGTCCGGGGCGCCGTAGTAGACGACTTCTGTCGTTCTGCATTGGCTGCGGGTACCGAATTCCTTGGCCATCGATGCCTTCAGCTCTGCGGGGATGGGCTTGTCGCAGGTATCGAAAGGCACATAGCACTTGTACTTGTCCCTTGGCTGGTTCTGGGCCAGAGCGCCTGAAGCTGCGCAGAGGAGGACAGCGAAGGTGAGAGAGCTGAACTGCACTGCAAAGATGTTAGACTCGTGGTTTGGAGATGTAGCCAAGGCATACTTAGTACGTACTGTTGGAATTTGGGGTGATGATATCTAAGTTGCAAAGGACAAAGATTGTAAAGAGTGACAGTACTTTGACTGAGGTTGTCCTGTGATAAAAAGGGAGTCTTCTAATGAAGATCTGAGTGTACATGCACTTTTGAGGGCGTAATCTTGAGATTTATACTCAAGTTCTGTAAGCTCTCGACGAAGTCGGACCGAGGCTGTCCAGAGAATAGGCAGACTACCTTAATCATGGCGCAATACGCACAATTGAGCTCGCAGGTTAGTTCGTGGTTTAGCGGTCCTTCTGTAAGTTTCTTTCGCCTCATCTCGGCCTTCTAGATTGCCTCGTTCAATCCTCTTTTGGCATAGCATCGGCCCTGGAACAAGTTGACAAACGAGAACGACGAAGGAAACTTCATTGAGTACTTTATTAGCAAGAATTCAAGTACAAGAGTCAACCGATGATGAAAACATATTAAATGAACACGAACAGGCTAAGTGAATGTTGTTGAAGGGGACTTTTGACTCCAATGCAGTATGCAATTTCGGCCGCCTTCCTCCTTTAGGCTGGTAAAAGGGAATCTGAACCCCGACGGGATATTTCTGTATGACTGTTGAGCAGTTGCCTCCTACTTTCAACATCATTGAAGCCTAAAATGAGCTATACTGTTTGTGTTGGTTATCTCGGCCCAGCCGAACCTTGAGGGATGCTGATTTAAGCTTTATCTAGCGTAGTTGGTAATCCTTCGTCTCACCACGTAGGGTTTATTCTAAGGCAAAGACTGAAAGTTGACCTGTGCATACGAGTTGTACAGTTAGAGACACGCTGAATTGCCTAAATGCTTCGCACGTTTTAGGGAAGGTCAACTCTATGAATAACAAACCTAGATTTATGAATGCGAACTTACACCGGGATGCTTTCGAAATTCATTCCATTGGCGCCGACGGAGTGAGAATGCCGCGGCCTGTTTGGAACTTCTCACGGCTTCACGTATGAGAAACTTCATGATTGTGAGTTGAGCGAGTTCTCTTGAAGTTGTCGCCGAGCGGCTTCTAGCCTTAAAAGGGAGCCTCTTTCGCCTGCCAAGAGTCATCTTCTCTAACCTCATCACCACAGTCTCTCATTCCTTGAACACACAATCATTTGAATCTGAACATTTTACAATCTTTCAACATGCGCTTCTCTGCATCAATCTTCACCGCCGTGGCCTTGGCGTCCATGGCCATGGCTCTTCCCACCGAGCTCCAAACCGTCGACTTGGCTGAGCGTGACTTCGTTGTCGAAACGCGTGATCTCTCCGGCCCCTCGTCTTCTGACGAGCTTCTCAGCCGTGCCGCCTCCGACGAGACTGCCATTGAGATCCTTGAGCGGAGCGACTCGGACGAGGAAGCCGTTCCCAACACCGAGCTGGCCGTTCGCCAGCTTCCTCCCTCCAAGCGCAAGAATCTCTTCACGATCACCCTCAAGGGCGGAAACGTCATCTTCAACGGCGCCATCAAGTTCATTCTCGAGGCCGTTGTCGATAGCACCAACCGAGTCACTACGTTCCACCTCAACCCCTTGGTTGGCGGTACCCCTGGCTCCACCGCTTCCATGCGCAGCTACGAGTTCAAGAAGAACTTTTTCGAATCAACCATCAACCGCGTCTCTGCTGAGGTTTCCTTCACTTACAAGACCGCTTCCGGTGTTATCTACAACTTCCTCGCCAATGTTGTCTACGGAATCGACTCTCGTCTCAGCCTCAAGCTTGAGGATGTCCAGCTCTTCGACATCGAGAAGGCTACCCAGCAAATTGCTGGCAAGGCGGCCACCAACCTATTCCTTGGTTCTTACGATGATGATTACAAGGACTTGTAGATGAAAGTCTACAAGAACTTCCAAGAACTTATGGCCGAGGTCCCCCATCAATCATACGTTGTCAGTTGTTAATGAAACCCTTTTTACGCTACAACAGCTCAAGCCACCGACCGAAGTAGATGGGGGACGGCCTAATTGTTTGGATTACGGCTCCTGAGGATGAACGTGGATTGGTATCTGTCTCAATCAGTAGTCTCTTAATTTCATGTTACGGAAAGATGTTGGGAAACTTAAAGATACGTGGATAGATTTCCAATTGATTCTCTATGTGCCATTTATTTACCTTGAGTAAGATGCCTCTACCACAAACTCTGGTTGATGGAATGTTCAGTCTTGGATTCGAAGTGTGTGCTAGAATTGAAAACTCCACGTTACTAATCAACAAAGCAGGCGCCTGGACTTCTTGTCACATCCGGCCTTGCGTATAATTCCACGACTAGGTTTACAAAGCTTGGCGTCTGTTTTGCTTGGTGGATACCAGCGGAAATATTGTCACACACTGTGGAAGTTGGTAAATGCTACTAGTACCGACATTTTGTGGGCAAGTGGTGTGAACAGTGAGATCCAAGTGGCCCGCATGTCAAACTCGAATAAATCCATTGAGCCTGCTTCTCACCCACTCCTTTCATTTGGCCTTTGCATATCCTCAGCTTCACTCACAACTTGGATCCCCTCCTTTGCAACGTTGGGTTTCTTTCCCTGTTTCCAAAGCTTGACTTCTTGCGCAACTCGTTATCATCGTAGAATAGCAATCGCAATAGCCTGCGAACATGGCAGACAGGAGTATCAAAGGTTCTTATGAAGATGACTTCCGGTATCTTTCAGTTCCTCGCCCAGCCCGGGGCTACCATTCCGACAACGAACTACGGCAGAAAAAAAGGACCACACCTCAACCGTCGTCACCTGTCGTACAAGTGCGATCTCAAAGACAGAAGCATCATTCCACAGCTGTGGAGTCTGGCTACGGTAGCCCGTTTGCAGAAGCACGCTCTCTCCAGAACAAGGGGCCTATGCATCGGAACAACGTTGCATTTGGCCCCGTAGCGAACAAACCCTTGATTACGCAGCCGCGCTCTACTAGCGCATGTCGGGGCTTCGGTAACAAAGTCTATCATTATAGATAACTCGGCAGAGACGAGTTTCGTTTGATCAGAGTTCTCCCGGCAAGGACCTCCACAATAAAGCTCGAAATATTGCACGGATCCATAACAAGCCCACCAACTTCGTTACTATATCTTACGCCTGGGGGCGATCCGGGAGACACCAAACGTTTAGAATTCGATGGCAAAGAAACTTGTGTTTCTTCAGCCTTCGTGGCGCTATGAGGGCATTTCGACAACAGAAGGACGCAGTCCTCGTATGGGTGAACATACTCAGCATTGACCAACAAAACTCTGTAGAGAAGATGCAGAGAATTCAGCTCATGACCAGAATCTACAGCTCGGCCAAATCTGTCGCCATCTGGCTGGGACCTGAAGCAGATGAGAGTGGCACTGCCACAAGGGTTCTAAGAGAGGTTGCTCGGAAACCAGATGTCAGAGACTTCACGTCACTTCATTCATCGGGCAAGAGGAAGGCTGAAGTTCGCGTTGCCATCTCTCTCTTTGAGAGGGATTATTAGGATCAACTGTGTGTTGTTCAAGAGGTATTCAATGCGCGCGAGATTGTGGTTCACTGCGGCTGCGTTGTTCTTTCATGGAAAACTTATACGGACGCTGCCAGTGTTTTCCGAAGCAATAAGACGGTTTTGAACCGCTACTGTCTGGTACTGAACAACGAGAGACCTAAACAGGTCTTTCATAGAATCACTTCACCTAATGTACGCGGCAATCCTAGCAAGCCATGGCCCTTCGAGCCTTCTTAGAAGTCGACCCCTTACTGGGTTCATTTTTGGCGAGTACTCTTTGTTGGAAGTGATGAGAGCATGCAGTAATAAAGGGGCGACTGATCCAAACGATCAAGATTTTGGAACTTTGGGACTGCTCTCTGAAGTGCTACGAAACGACATCAGAGCCGACTACAACATGACTGTAAAGTCAACTTATGCAGCGACAACAGAATTTTTGGATGTCATATGCGACTCTATGTTTTTACCCACTGTACGCAAACAACGCTGGCCTTCCTTCCTGGGTCCCTGAGTGTTCACACAATCCCGGCACAAAGGCTATAGGCCCCATGAAGCTCAGCCCGAAGTTTACGGCATCTTGAGGCCAGAGGGCCAGAATTGTGTCCGATGGCAATTTGCTGGAAATAAGTGGCGCCGAAATCGATACCCGGACGTGGAGGGTATGTTTATCGAGATAATGGATATTCGACTAAGGAAAGGAAAGGGAAGAGTAATTTTGTGAGGGCCAGGGAAGAGTGATTGGCGCGTTTTGAGCAGGCGATGAAAGATTGGGAGAATTAGGACTAATAGACCTGGATCTCTGAACAAGTGTCATTGCATCATTGAATGCTATAGAACAGCCGTTGTCCGCTTTCTCGACTTGCATATGTATTCAATGAGAAATCTACTCTCAAATAAGAGAGACTAGATGTCTGTAATATTGCAGGCAATTCCAGTCTGCGTCCATGCGGTTGCCAGCATCTTTAACCCACTGCTTGCCTGTATTGATGTTAGTAAACTTTAGCTAGAGAACAGATCTAAAGATCCCTACCAGCTTTCCACAGCTTGCTAATACTGGTCGAGTCTGTCATTCCGCCAAAGGTAATGCTATCGAAGTTTCAGTCAGTACAAGGACGAATACAGCCTAGAGGATAATTTTTATAGCAGTCACTAACCGTTGATCAATGATAGGGCCATCCCAGTCATGTCGAGATTGGTACCATTCGTCCGGGTTGTTGTCCTCATCGACTCTCACGTGCAGGTACTCGGCTTCAAACTTCTTGAACCACTTGGAGGTCTTTCCAATGACTAGCCCAACGTGAACGCAGTCGGTTTGATCTATGACATACTTCAAGTAGGCATCCCGCGTGTGATAATGATTGCGATACGCCGGGTTGCAGGACATGAAATAATACACTTTGCCGTGCTCAAGTGGCCTCCCTACGACCTTCTCTGCTTCCCTCCAAGCTTTACTTTGGTCTCGAGAGAAAATGCCGGCTGAGCTGAAGGTGTCGGTGCGTGTAGCGACTGTCTGAGCCGGATTGCGGACGGAGACCTCCGCTTCGGGCGCAGTGTTCGGTACGGCGAGGCCTGACGCGATAACGCAATAGGAAAGAATGTGTAGGAACTTCATCTTAGCTTAGATTGATTGCAAGTATACCTAAAGAAGGATATCCAATCGAGAAATATGGTAAAAAAGCGACCGATAGCGGGGTGCACAAAACCCAGGACACGAGTAAAACTATCTGATGGAGTCGAGAGGTCAGGAGGCTGCAGTGCCCCTTTTATCATTTTCATCCGGCTCCATGCCAATAGCTTAGAATGTCACTGACTTCTTTGTAGACGCTTGTGAGCCTCGCGCGATACGAGAAAGACTGAACGAAAGGATACATGATTGCGGATTTGTTCTCGCACCTGTAGCAAACTCAATTAGATAGGGTTAGTTGCTTGCCAGTCCTGTGTGGGTCTCTGACAGATAGGTGCGGATATTGCCGCTGTGTACTCAACCTGCTAAAGCTGATTTATTCGGCTGTTCTTACGCTTGGCATTTCCAGGTCAAAGTACTGTTGCACAAACCCTCGGGCAGGTAGACTGCTGCCCGCAAATGCACGGCCAGGAATTAAACTTACCCATCAGACCATAGTATAGTTTGATTGCTCAATATGGACTTTCGTATCGCTCATGTCCGATGCCTCTGGAGCTTGTTCGTCTATAGAACTTCCAGCCTCAGGTCATGCACTTCTTCTGGCTTGAATAAATATCATAGTATTTCCACTTGGAGACTACTTTCATTGGAGTAACCGTCTATCCAAAGAACTCATCATAGCCCGGGTCCGCCATGACATCGTTGACTTCTTTCCTTGTTTTATCCTTACTCGGCATCGCCAACGCAACGCCCTCTCAACCACCGCCAAGTCATTGGAGGCGCGGTGGTGATGTGGCAGTCGAAGATAAATGGTTGGACCACAACAAAATAGTTGCCTTGGAGGAAATCCCTGGCTATGATCTTACCGGAGAGATCGAGACTACCTTCAGACCGCTGCTTCATTCGTACTCAGGATGCATCCCGTACCCTGCAGTCGACGCCAATGGTAATGCTGGGTACGTGAACCTTTTAGACGAGAATTCGATCCCGGTATCAAAGCTAATATAGTTACTTTGTTTTTTTTTTTTTAGTGCTGGCTTAAGACCAACTGGCAAGGCGGGCGGCGATTGTCGTGATTTTGGGCAGAGCGGTCAAGTTTACGCCAGAGTTGGAAAGTCTCACGGGAGATGGGGTGTGATCTACAGCTGGTACTTGCCCAAGGTTATGGGTAAAGAGCAGCAGCATAAACACCACTGGATCACTGCCGTCGTATGGCTTCGCGTCGACGGATGCTCCGATCTGATCTACAACTTCAAGTCTCTTGGTGTTGCATACTCTAAGAACCCCCAGAACAGCTTCGATGTCACACACAAAGACAGTGATACCATCTTTGTCAAGTTGAACGATGGTGGTTCAGCAACCAACCCTATCGTAGCATATGACAGCGGAGTGCCTCTTGTGCCCTCTCGAGAGGGCGCAGCGGGCGCTTTGAGTAACCCACTTATCGACTGGCATCGTCTCCCTCAGCTTGCACAGCAACAGCTAAACGGAATCCAATACGAGCACACGCAGGTCCCATTCAACGATGCAAATTTCCAGGGCACGCTTGATGCCGCGTACAGCGACGCTCTATACACCAACGTGCCGGTAGAGAGTGGCGAATGTCAGACTGACCCAACGGAGGCTGATATCGATCCGGACTTTGGATTACCAGAACCTTCATCTACCGCGAAGCCGGTCTCTTAACCTGAGCCAGCTGATCTGAGATAGAAGTCGAGAGTCAAGCAATAACCTAGAAGATCAGCCAGT